CCACGGCGCCTGGCTGTGCCTGTGCGGACGCGGTCTCCCGGGGTCCGCCTCATGCCTGCAGCGATGCGGAAGCCAGCCGGATCTCGGAACCCTCGGGGAACCGGTGAGTTCGGGATGGGCAGGTGATTTGGGAGCCAGAGGCGGCGCGGTGGGGGAGACCCGGAGCCGTCTCCCCGCCTCCCCTCCTCCCCCGGCAACAGAGACACGCAGAAGACCTCAAGGTGGCGTCCAGCGGCGGTGCGGAGGATGGGGGGCCAGAGAACCCACAGGCGTCCCAGACCCACCCTGTGTTCAAATAAAGTCCAGGCCGAGACGAGGCAGCCAAGGCGGCTCCCAGAGTCATTTGGGCTTGGCCCCGCCCACTCCGGCCCAACCCCCTTAGCCCCGCCCTGTGCCAGTCTGGCTCCGGCCTTCCCGCTAGCCACGTGCCGCCCGGGCACCGAGCCCCGGCGCCCTCACCTGCCCAGCAGCGGCACGCTCAGCGACGTCTCGGGGATTTTCTGGGCGATCAGGAACAAGAAGACGGTCTGGGCGAGCAGGACGTTGATGGAGACGGTGCATTTCTGGCCGCCGGCTGGGGGGAGCGCCCAGTGAGAGCTGCTGCCCCCCCCCACACACACACACACACACATCCCGGAACGAGCCCCACTTGCGGGTTGGGGCGAGTCCTTACCCTGCGCTGGCAGGAAGTAGGCGAGCAGCACCAGGCCTGAGATGAGCACGCAGGGCACAATGATGTTAATGATGTAGAAGAGCGGCTTCCGGCGAATGATGAGCGTGTACACGATGTCAATGCCGCCTGCGCCGTCAGCGGAGCCTCCGTCCTGGCGGTGGATCTCCCCGGGGCAGAAGTCGATGGCCCACTCGCCGTTCTCTGCAGGACGGGGGACGCGCTCAGCCTGCTCTGAGGCCCCACACCTGAGGGCGGGAGCCCATAACTCCGGGCGGAGGAGAGATTCTGCACCGGGGTGGGTGGGGCCGGTGGGCTGGACGGCTCGGGCCTTGGGCCTTCGGCAGACGGGCAATTCGGGCAGGGCCGAAGCGGGTATTCCGGGTGAGGTACGGAAGGACCGCGAGGAGGTAGGACTGGTCCGACCATCGAGAATAATTTCAGGAAAGGGGCAAATTAAAGCGCGGTTGCCAAAGTTGGTCCCTAGGCTTGAAGGTCTGGGGCAGCCCCACTTTGCAGGTACCTTCTCTGGACCCGTCTGGAAGCGGGTTTTAGGAGCAGGAGGGGACCTCACCGGTGTAGGCCTCAGTGTCGATATCGATCTTGCTGATGGTTTCGCCGTCATCGCCCACCACAAAGACGAACTCCACCTCCTGGGCATTGTACGTCTGAGAGCTGTGGAGGCAGGGGGCCCCCACCCCAGCAACTCGGACCCAGGCCCTAGCCTCAGGCCCTGACCTGGAAGCTGGGCTCTGGCGGGGTGAGAACGCCCCACCCCATTACCCCAATCATGTTGTTTTTCTCCCCGACTTCAAATTCACTGGAGCAGCCCCAACCCTTTCCAGAGTCCGGCTCCGCCTCCAGCACAAAGCCCCGCCCCCGATTAGTGTTTTCTCCCCCCCCATATGACGTCACTCCCTGCTCCCCTAATCCCGTAATGGTCCGGCCCGAAGGAACTGTGCCCACCGGAAGATGAGCGAGCAGTTCTGCCAGTCGAAGGGGAAGTAGGAGACTTCCACGGCGCAGACGCTGCGGTAGATGGCGGGGGGCAGCCAGCTCACGTGGCCGCCCTCGTAGACCAGCACGTTGCAGTCGTAAGCCACCCCGAACTGGCCGTCGATACTGTGGGCCCCGGAAACCCGGCGTTCGCGGAGGTCCGCCACCCCTCGCCCTCCAAGCAACCTCCCACCCGGGCCAGGTCCAACCCAGCCCCTCAGGCCTCGGCTTCCAACAGCCTGGTTTCCCTCCGGTCCGTACTTGTTTTCCAGCACAATCTCTGGTAGCCATACGTGTGTGGACGGGACCCGCAGGATCCCGATGTCCCCAAAGTCCTCCTTGCTGAAGTTGAGTCGGTAGTCGTCCCAGTCCTAAGGGTGGGGGGGAGGGGGACGGGAAGACGTGTGCCCTGCATCTCCCACCTGGTGCCCGCGAGGAGTGTGGGAGGAAGGGGTGCCCTGGACCAGACCTCGCACTGTCCCCCAGATTGGACTCACGATTCCAATCCAGACGCTGGTGGTGAGGGTCTCCTCCTTCTCGTTCTGCGCAGGGGAGATGGGGAGGGGTTCCAGGGCCACAGTGAGCGTTAGGATCGCGCTCAGTGGTTGGCCAAGAAGTGGGATTTCAAGCTCAGAGATGGTGCTGGGAGTGGAGGTGGGGTATCTTACCAGCGAGATGAGGTTGGTCAGGGTGACCTTGATGTTGATGCTGACAGTGTCCTCAGGCTCCCTCACTGGCCTGCATTGTGGGTCATAATTGTCGAAAAGATGGTGATAAAGGCGCAACTCCTCATTCCCCTCACCTCGGCCTGGGGATGGTGACAAGCAGCAGAGACACCGAGATGAAGAGGCTAGGGGGCCTCTCCCCTCTGCCCCCTCCGAGTCTGTGCGGGGCCCTGCTTCCCTGTGTGTCTGCCTCTGAGACGAAGTACTTTTCCATGAGTGTCTTCGGAGCCAATGTTGTGCCTGGGGACCAAATATTGCAGCCCAGTCTACATCGTGGTCTCTATCTTGTTTATGTTCATATCTCCGTGTGTGTGTGTGTGAGTGTGTGTGTGTGTGTGTGTGTGTGTCCGTCCAGCCACCTCCCCAACCCCTGTCCATACCAAGAAGCTGCAAGAGGAAGAGGGCGCTGAGCAGAGCCCCTGCCATCCTGCTGTCTGGTCCTCAGGGTTATTCTGAACGTTGGCAGGCTCGGAGCGGGGCAGGCCAAGGCTCATGGGGCGGGGGGGCAGGGTGTTAGTTCCGGGCTGAGTTAGGGGACTGTCACCTAATCCTCTTACCGCCCCACCCCTGCTGAAGCCAGGGACATCTTGTCTGCTTCCAGAGACAGCTGCCTCGTCCCATGTTCCCTGCCACCACCCCATCCCAGCATCCTTTGCTTGGCCTTCAGCCAGCTTCCCAGCAACAGGGCTCATCCTCTCATGACTGGAGCAGGCTGGGTTCGGGTGACCCCTTTCAGAGCACCTGGGGCCACAAGCCTGGCAGCAGGGGGATGGGGAAACCCTGCTTTCAACATGCACTGATGCCCTTTCACTAAGCTGCCTTGTGCAGGTGACATCCTGCCTGCCATACTCACCATGTGGAACACACATTACTACCCCCTCGGCCAGCCAAGGTCACACTGGTGCGGTTTCTGCTGGCAGAGTTTGGCCAAAGCAAAGCGTCTGTAAAGACCTGGTAATCAGACAGGCGGTCACAGGGGAGTAGTCTGCAGGAATAGACTTCAGCTGGCAAAGATCACCGTGCTGAAATATAGGGCCAGCTCCTCCCACAACCCATCCCCAAGTCGGCCCACTCCCAGCCCCTCACCTTGCCTCTCTCTGCTGCCATCTCATGGCCACATATGATAGTACTGTCTTAACCCGGGACCTTTCAGTCCGCAGGCCGACGCTCTATCCACTGAGCCAAACCGGTTTTGGCCTTTCAGTGTTTCTTAAAGTCTCCCTGGACCACCCTAATCAATCACCGAGGACGCTTATTTAAAATTCAGATGTTTAGTCTCCATCCCCAAAGAATCCCAATTAGGAAGATGGCAGAGATGGGATGCCAGGAGTCTTTTTTAAGAAGCTATCCAGCCCTGACCGGTTTGGCTCAGTGGATAGAGTGCCGGCCTGCGGACCGAAAGGTCCCAGGTTCGATTCCAGTCAAGGGCATGTACCTTGGTTGCGGGCACATCTCCAGTGGGAGGTGTGCAGGAGGCAGCTGATCGATGTTTCTCTCATCAATGTTTCTAACTCTCTATCCCTCTACCTTCCTCTCTGTAAAAAATTAAAAAAAAAAAAAAAGAAGAAGCTATCCAGCTCTGGCCTGTGTGGCTCGGTTGAACATCTCCCATGCACTGAAAGGTCACAGGTTAAATTCCAGTCAGGGCACATCCCGAGGTTTCAGGTTTCATCCCAGTGGGGTGCATATGGGAGACAGCCAACCCATCTCTCTCTCTCTCTCTCTCTCCCTCTCTCCCTTTAAAATCAGCTAGCTTCCTAGTAACAGAGCTGGTCCTCTCATGACTGGTGAAACAGCAATGATCTCTAAAATCAATAAAAACATTTTTTAAAAGAAGCTATCCATATAAGAAGCACTTTTTATGCCTTACGCATTGCCTCCTCAAGCCAATCCAGCAACGCAGTTACCATTGTGCTGAATGTATGAAAGAGGACCTTAAGATCAGGTGTAAGATCACAGAAATAGATTGGCACTAATGCATGAGACTTATCAATAAGCTTTATTAATCATTTTACCTGTGTTCATTTTACACTTCACAAAATACTTTCATGGCCATTTTGGGGTCTCCTTCCTCTACCTGTGAGGTCCCCATGTTACAAACACGGACACTGAAGATCAGAGGGGCCACACAGTGTATCCATTCCCCACACGTCTTTGAAGCTGCTTTGCTTCCTCTGCTAACTGCCTTATCATTCCACGTTTTCCACTTCAGACCCCAGAAAGAATCTTCTCGGCCCATCTCACCTTTTTGCATGTGATACATAGACTGATTCTAAAATCTGTGATGCTGCTTATTCCAGAGCCTCTAGATTAGGGACTGGGCAAATAGTTGTGATAAACAGATATTTATTCAAACATTAGTGGCACCTGCAACCCTCCCTGAACAGGGCCAGGTGCTGTTGTTATAAAGATGAGCAAGACATGGCTTCAAGGAGCAGAGGAAGGCTTATGAGCAGACAGTGTCACCAGAACTGTCAAAAGGACAAAAAAACAGGAGCCACTTGGCCGGTCTGGCTCAGTGGTTGAGTGTTGACCTATGAACCAAGTGGTCACAGTTAGCTTCCAGGTCAGGGCACATGCCCGGGTACAGGCTAGGTCCCCAGTGTGGGGCATGCGGGAGGCAGCTGATCAGTGACTCTCATCATTGATATTTCTATCTTCTCCCTTCCTCTCTGAAATCAATAAAACTAGATGTATTTTTAAAAACATACAATAGTGAGGCAAAGCCACATCTGGACCAGCAGCCTGCGTGTGGGAGTGTAGTTTGGGGTGGAGGGAGAGTGCGTAGAAATCCTTATTCCTTCCTGCCCAAGCCCTGAGTTGCTGCTTGGGTCATAGCCCAGCATGTATCACTTTTGCCACAGAGCACCTCGCTGCAGGACCCCTGGCTGGGACTGTAACTCGCTGCAGGACCCCTGGCTGGGACTGTAACTCGCTGCAGGACCCCTGGCTGGGACTGTAACTTGTGGGTGAAGGTCTTGCTCAGACCAGTGCATCCCACCAACATCTCTTGCAAAATCTGCACATCAGAAACCTTCCCCTACAGCTCTCACTGGTTTGGCTCAGTGGATAGAGCATTGGCCTGTGGACGGAAGGGACTGCGTTTCGATTCTGGTCAAGGGCACATGCCTGGGTTGCGGGCTCGATCCCCAGTTGGGGGCATGCAGGAGGCAGCCAATCAATTCTCTCTCATCATTGATGTTTATATCTCTCCCTTTTCCTTCCTCTCTGAAATCAATTATATATATATAATCTCTTAAAAAGAAACCTTCCCTTATGTAGTCGCCAGGAGGGCCGCTCACCCCTCATCCCTTCCTCCTCCTCCCGCTCTGGCTCCTGGCCGCAGTCCATCCCACTTGTGCTGGCACAGAGCTGAGCATTCTTTTTTCTTTTCTTTCCTTTTTGCTGTTTGCTCAGGATCACAACTGTCTGAGGAACTGAGACTTTCTTTCAAGTTGGTGGAGTCAGGCACCGACCTCAGACCTGGGTTTAGTATTTTTATAATAAAAACTCCACAGATCCTTAGTGGGCTCCCTGACAATTTTGTTTCTGGGACGCCTTAACTTCCAAGCTAGACTCAAAGATCTCAGCTCAACAGGAAGCCACTCCCTTCACCTACTGGCTCTTGGCTGGTAACTCACAACAGCTGCAGCTGTCCCCATTGGCCAGGCCAAGCGTCTCTTTCTTAGTCATCAGTGTCCTCACAGTGGAAATATCCCCACGCTGCTCTGACCAAGGGGGCCCCTCTGACACAACAAAAGAGACCCTTTTGTCAGTTGGGAGCGTGGATTGGCTGAGCTAGGACAGGGACAGCAGACACTGATTTCTAGGCTGTGTTCCTCACTGGAACCTAAGCTCTCCGGTCACTGAGACCTTGCTATTTACTGTGTTCAGTAGCACAGAGCCCAGCACATAGTAGGCATGCAATAAAAATTTACTGAATGAGTGAAAGAATGAGTGCCTTCAAATATATGGTGTTGGAAGATGATTTGACCTTGGGTTGTGGGCACACAATGCAATATACAGACCATGTATCATAGAAATGTAAACTTAAAACCTATGTAACCTTATTAACCAATATCACCCCAATAAATTTAATATTAAAAAAAATGAGTGCCTTCCATAGCCGGTTTGGCTTTAATATCACCCCAATAAATTTAATATTAAAAAAATGAGTGCCTTCCATAACCGGTTTGGCTTAGTAGATAGAGCATCGGCCTGCAGACTGAAGGGTTCCGGGTTTGATTCTGGTCAAGGGCATACACCTCCGTTGCACGCCCCTCCCTGGCTCGTGCAGGAGGCAACCAGTCAATGTGTGTTTCTCTCACATCGATGTTTCTCTCTGTCTTTCCCTCTTTCTAAAAATCAGTGGTAAATAAACTCGGGTGAGGACTTAAAAAAAATAAATACAAATGAGCGCCTTACCTTCCCAGCGTCCTCCCATCTACTGAGAACTGTTCTTCTCCAGCCATGTGACTCCCGAGGCTCTGCCAAGCACTTAGAGCAGTGCTAGAAGTGGGATCACAGGGTCAAATGGGAGTTCCATTTTTAGTTTGTTTTTTTTTATGTTGTGGCCCCACCCCATAACAAAGAAATAATTTCTGGAGGATGAGGCCCAGAAATCAGGATTTTAAAAAGATTCCCAGGTGATTCTAATGTGCAGCCAAGGTTGAGAACCACTGACTTAGAGGCTCCTCACCTCTGGCCAGAGTTGATGGATCCAGAACACCTGGCCACAGAAAGCCCTTCCCTGAGAATATTGTTAAGCAGGAAGTCAGTCTCTCTTTGCTGTAGGAGGGCAAGAGATAAATTTCATATTTTTGTTGTTATTAATCCTCACCAAGGTTATTTTCCCATTTATTTTTAGAGAGAGTGAAAGGGAGGGAGGGGAAGAGGGAAGGGGAGAGAGAGAGAGAGAGAGAGAGAGAGAGAGAGAGAGAGAGAGACACATCAATTGGTTGCCTCCTGCACAAGGCCAAACTGGGCTGGGGATCAAACCAGCAACTGAGGTATGTGTCCAGGAACTGAACCCATAACCCTTTGATTCCCCCATCAAGACCCTAACCACTGAGCAACCGACCAGGGCAAGATATAAATTTAGATGCACAAGGCAGCCATGTTCATTCCCCATCCTTTATATGACTGAGAGAGAATGCAGCCGGTACACAGAGACCAAAAAAAAAAAAAAAGGCCTCCAGTATCCCAGGCCCCGGGCCCCAGAAATTCCAGGGGCCCATCTGCATTTGTCTCCCCCTGCAGGCTGCTCGAATGAGGAACATCAGCATCCTTCCAGTAAATCCTCCTTTTCTTGACTTAATGATATAGGGATTAAAAAACAAACAAACAAACAAAAAACTACGCCAGCCGGTGTTGCTCAGTGGTTGAGCATCGGCCTGAGAACCAGGAGGTCACCATTTCATTCCCAGTCAGAGCACAGTTGCTCGATCCCCAGTGAAGGGCATGGAGGAGGCCGATGAGTGATTCTCTCTCATCATTGATGTTTCAGTCTCTCTCTCCCTCTCCCTTCCTCTCTGTAAAAAATCAATAAAATATATTTAAATATATATATATTTGAAAAGAAAAACAAAGAAAACTAAAAAAGAAGAAATAAACTAGTATAAAGAAAAAAATTGCCTCATAACACACGTCAATTGATTGCCCAGAAAAACCCTTCTGATAAAACAGGTAATGCATGCCCATCACTAGAACTGAAGAGTGCAGAAGGACATAGCGAAAACCCAAAGCTTGTTTCTTTTTTTTTTTTAATATATTTTATTGATTTTTTACAGAGAGGAAGGGAGAGAGATAGAGAGTTAGAAACATCGATGACAGAGAAACATCGATCAGCTGCCTCCTGCACATCTCCTACTGGGGATATGCCTGCAACCCAGGTACATGCCCTTGACCGGAATCGAACCTGGGACCTTTCAGTCCGCAGGCCGACACTCTATCCACTGAGCCAAACTGGTTTCGGCCCAAAGCTTGTTTCTATCCCTTCTTTCTCCCAAAGGTTGGCAGCGTGGTTAGCTGTAAACCTTCCTAAAGTCCAGCACATGTAAGTATATATATATATATAAATACTAGAGGCCTGGTGCACAGATTCTTGCACTGGTGGGAGGCATGGCCTGTGGGGATCAGCCTGCTGTAGAAGCGTTGCTCATCTCTGTCATCTGAGATGACATCTGGCTGTGGGAGTACACTGACCACCAGGGGGCAGCTCCTGCATTGAGCATCTGTCTCCTGGCGATCAGTGCAAGTCATAGCGACTGGTCGACCTGTCATTCTGGTCATTCCACTGTTGGGTTGCTGGGCTTTTGTATATATAGATATGGCATCAGACTATGCTTACTATTCTGCAACTTTGGTTGAGATTGGCCCATATCAGTACATACAAGTCTTCCTTGTTCTTTTAAACTGCTGCACAGCGTTCCACGGCATGAATGTGCCATAGATACTTTATCCAGTTCCTAAAGGATAGACATTTAAGTGCTAACCATTTGGGGTTTTGCAATGACAAACTATGTGAACATGTTCATGCATTTATCTTTGGCATACTTGTGCAAATGTATCCATAGGGTTAATTCCTAGCAGTGAAATTGCTGGGGCAGAGTTCATGCATTTTCTTTTAACCGTAGATGCCTTTTGCCAAATTGCTCTCCAAAAAAGCCTTCACACCATCAGAGTGTGAGAGTGCCCGTGTCCTCATACCCTCCCCAGCAGAGAACATTATCATCAAACTTTCTTTTCTTTTTCTTAAAAGCCTCTCTATTTATTGCCTGGCCGGCATGGCTCATAAGAAGATAGAAGGTGGAGAGAAGAAGGCAGAAAGGCTAGGGACCTCGAAACCCAAGGAACAGCAGGATGGCGGTGAGTTTCCTGAGTTTTCTTTTTGCTTCGCTCAGCCCAGTCTCGAAAGTGAAGTCAGCAGGCTGGACACCAAGGCGCAGACAAAACAAAAAAGCAAACAAAACAAAACAGCCCACAACAAAAACCTGCTCTCTCTAGCCAACGGACCGGGAAAGGGCAGCCTAACAAGAGCGAAAACTTGGAAAATAACGGCTCTATTCCAGCCAAATACCACAGAAGAACTGTGGCCACAGCCACACCCAACCACACCAGCGCCGAGCCTAGACTTCCCCTCTTCCCAGGATATAATGAGGCGCCCAACTCACCAGGGTGGTTTCCGAGGTCAAGTGGGGAGGGGGAACTTTCACCCCCTACTCCCCCTCCCCCACCAGCTGGAAATGAGGCCTCCCACACCGCAGGGTCAGTAAGGCCACGTGGGTGCGGGGACTTCAGTCCCGGATTGGCAATGGGGAGGCAGCCCTCAGCCTCCCTGCTGGGCTGCGGCCAGGAGGCCTCCGCTCCTTATATCCTCCCCAG